CCAAAGGGCCTGGTAACCCAGGGAGGGGTTGTGCAAGACAGAGATCTGAGGGCCCAGAGAGGGGCTGAGAGAGGCTGAGGGGCTGTACAGCCATGACTGGCTGTATCAGCAGTATGTAAAACATCTGTAAGGATGCCATCTGCGAAGCATTGGACATGGCGTAGGGGAGGTAGAGACCCATGTGATTGGCCCATAAGGCTATGAGCACAAGTTGGGTGGTCATTATAATAAGATCAGGGCAGCCTCCTGCAATATATATCTATTAACATCAAGGCATGGCAGGTGACAGTGCGGCAGAATGCCCTTAGAGTGGGGTAATTAAAATTTTGGAGTACCCTGTGACAAGCCTCCATTATTAAAGCTTGATTATTAAAAACAAGGTGTGATGGGTGAGCAATCTAGGGAGAACAACATTATAGTCTGAAACAGGCAGGAGCTACACAGGCCACCAGGGGGCGTGATGGTCAACCCCGTGGCTATAAGCCTGTCACACAGACACCTATATCAAATTTACTGTAAAAACTGGATTTAGTTGTAAATCAACATGTATTTATGGCCACCAACTAATGAAAATACACCTTTTTTTTTTAAAATGAAAATAATATACAATGGGAAAGTAGATAAAAGTCAAGGATTTAAATTGGGCTTTTGGCTTGCCGATTTTAAATAGGCAATTTAAATTGATTTGATTTAAGTCAATCCACCCTGTTACTGACAAATCTCAAGCTATGCTTGGATTGCTCTATTACATGAGCTAACAGGTCCCTACTTCCAGGACAACAGCATCATATCTTCTTCGCATTAACATTTACTGTCCATACTACCTTGCTTTAAATGAGATTTCACAAAAGTGAACAAGAAATAGATTTGTCTTGTATTTCCAAAGATGCATTTTGAATACACCTAAAAAGACCTTATTAAATGCTGTAAGTTGCAGTGATTTCAGAGTTGGCCTTTCATACATTTATTTATTTGTAGTAAGTGCAGTTATAGAATGATCTGCTTTCCTCAATACTTTCTAAATTGTTGATGAGTGAGTGATTGCTACCTGGACCTGAAAAAAGCCTTAACAAAGGGTCTGAGTCAGCCCAGGCCCAGAGGGTATAAAAGGAGACTCCCCAGGCAACCAGCGAAGAGGGACGGCAAACAGGGGAAGCAGTTTGCAGGCCAGTTCGTGGGTAGCAACATAGCCTATTACCATACAATGGTGGGGACACGCAGCTTCCCACTTCAGCCCCAGCTGGTACTCCCTTCCCTTGCACCACCTAGATGGAACCCATGGTTCCAGCCTCCACCCAGACACAGCGCCTGGCTCCAGGCTGCAGAGGCTGCCTGGCACAGCTGCCAGCAACTGGGAATGGGAGCAAGGTTGCCCCCACCTGTGGTGTATGCTACTTAGTAAGGTCCCTGGAGTCCCAGGTGACTGAGCTCCAGGCCCAGATAGGCAGACTTTGTGCCATCAGGGCTCACAAGCAGAAGATTGACAATTACTACAGTCAGGCTCTTCTCCAGAAGAAGGAAGAGAGAAGAGCATGGATGCCCAACTACATGAAGAGAGACAACAGGAAGATCAACCAGGAGCCACACCCAGGGGATGCTTGGAAGAGGGTAGTCTCAGGTCCCAAGACACGAAGTACCAGGGTCACTCCTCCCTTGAAACTGAACAATAGGTATGCACCTCTCACATCACCAGCAGACATCAGCAGAAGCACAGGCTCTGGATGAGGGGAGGCAGCTAGCTGCCAACCCTAAGAAGAGACGCAGGATGGTTGTGGTGTGTGACACCCTCCTGAGAGGGACATCTGCTACCCTGACCCCCTGGCCCGTGAGGTCTGCTGCCTTCTAGTGGCCCGCATCTGGGACGTGGCAGAAAGGAAGGATTCCTAAACTCGTCTGTCCCTCTGACCACTACCCCATGTTCCTCATCCATGTGGGCACAGAAGACACAGCTCAGAGCAATCCCGGCCAGGTCATGAGCAACTACAGGGCTCTGGGGGCTGGGCTCGAGGGTTGGGGGCACAGGTAGCTTTCTTCTCAATCCTTCCAGTTACAGGTCATGGGCACAGGAGGGAGAGATATACTGAAGAAGTCAACAGAAGACTGCAGCATTGGTGCCATCAAAAAGGCTTTCGCTTCTTCGACCACAGTACGCACTTCAGAGAGAGGCAGCAGTTTGTTGGGAAGGAATGGCCTCCACCTTACTCTGATGAGAAAGAAGCTCTTCTCAGCCAGAATGGCTGACTGGCTTGACAGGGCTTTAAACTAAGATGGCTGGGGGATGGTCAGACAATCACTAGTGCAAGGCCTGGAAGTAGCAACCACAGAATCAACAGGTCAGGCAGGTAACAAGGGAACTCACTCCTACCCCAGCCAAAGGACAAGACTCTAAGAGAACAGGGAAGCCCAGGGCTTCCTATGGCAGGCTTAGCTGCCTGTACACAAGTGCTAGGAACGTGGGGAACAAACAAGAGGAACTGGCCCTTCCGCTAAGCAAAAATTAGCATAATCTCATAGGGATAGCCAGGGAGTCAAGCTGAACCTGAACCAAAAAAAAAATCGGAACGAACCTTTATTTTTTCCTGAACTGGAACAGAACCTGAACCATTATCTGCAAGTCTCTTGCTGAACATGAGCCAGAATAGAACTGCAAAAATCAGGTTACCAATTCAGAGTAAGGGTTCAACCAAACAAAAAACACACCTGATGTGATACACTCACTGGCTCCACCAGAACCAGAATCAGAGTGAGCACATAACTAAAACCAGTATCTGGAAGGATTAAGGATTTATATATTTTGGGTTTGTATAAGCTTTTATACTCTGCCCTCTTCAAGGGCTGGGCCTGGGAAGTATTAGGCAGGGACTGGACTGGAAGCCTGCTTGCTGTTTTCCCTTTGTGACAGGGGTTTGGTCAACATATAGTCACAACATGGAAGGGATGAACATACAACACATGTGAGGTGATACAACAATACAAAACAGGCAACAAACACCAAATATGTCCTATCAAATGATCTTTACATGTACATTAAAATGAGAACATATGTACATGTAGGAATGTTTGGAGAAACAAGGATTAATCTAAAAATCCAAAATCGGGCCAGGAAAACGGAAAGTAACAAGATTACAGAAGACAGGAAAAGCAGGGTACCTCCCTTATGCTGCAGTGCTCAGCCAGCTTCTGTAGGTGGCGGGTGTTAATGCATATGTGGTGGCTAGGCCTTCAGGGCCCCAGGCATTACTAGTCTAGTCCAGGCCCTGAGAACAGACAGGTGAGCGAGCAGGATCTCTGGGGGGAATCCTGGTCCCATGATGCGACTAGTAATTTCTGTTAGAGAGACTGTGTGGGAGTGATTTACGTTATAGGAGACAGAGTAAGACCATGGTGGATTGGGTGGGACTTGTGATGATGTGAAGTTACACGAGTCCTCTTGTTGCTTATTACAAATCAGCATCACATTCCATTCCCAACATAGGTAGGGAACAAGTCAACCCTGTAAGGAGATATTTCAAGTTTGATTCCACAATGTCAAATTGAAGGCGTTCAGTGGTGATGAAAGGCAATCATGCATCCAACTTGGAAAGACATACAGAGGCATCATCCAAAACGACACACAACATTTGCTTTCAAAAAGGAAGAGAAGAAGAAGAATCTGGTGGGGAATCAGAATTACAGAAGAAAAAAGCCCAACCCTCTCAGTGCAAAGTACTTTATATTCAGTATTTCATGGGAAAAAAAGAGTTCAAGTAAATATTGATGAATCAAAACTTGTAGATGCCTGCGTTGAATTTGTAACATGCAATGGAAGGCCATTCACCTTAATGGAAGATTCAGGATTTAAGATAATTGATCCCATAATTGAAGGTCTTGGGAGGGAAGATAGCAGTCAATACCCAAAATCTGAGACAAAGTTGCAGAAGCAGCAGCCAATGTGTGTGCTATGTAATCAGGGATCGCAGGAGATTTAGCTTAGAAAATTCTTCCTAACATCCAATTCTGAGGGTGTTGAGTACAAGAACAGATCATCTAGAGAGGGAAAGAATTTCTATCACTGGAAGTTTAAGTGTGGGTTAAACAAATGTTTGTCTGGGATGCTTTAGACAAGGATGATCCTGCTAGAGAAGGATCTATACGATTTCCCAAGTTCCCTTCCAGCCATATTTTTCTATAACTATTCACATGGGCTCCGTAGACAAACAGCAGGTACTATATAAACAGACAAAGCTGTGAAAGGGAAGGTGCCAAACTTCTCTGGCACAATTAATACCCTCAGTCTGTCATTGCAGCATTTAAATTAACTTGCAAGATGGGCCTAATTATGCAACTGTGCATCATTAGCAAGCCCCCAGGTTACTGCTACTCATGCTAATCTACCTTTTCAAATTTTATTAAATATGTTGACCTGCTTTCAGCAGTTTCTTGACTAAAGACATGTGACCCTGATCTCCATTGATTTCACCATTACTCTTCGCTGTTGACATTAATAGGAGAAGAGTTTGCATCCTGTACATTACATGCTACAGGCAACAGATGTTAGCTCCAGTCACAGAAGAGCTGCAGGCAGTCACAGCTTCATCCACGGTTACCCCTAAGGAGGGAAACAGGGGGGAAAAAAATCCCACAGAGACGAAAAGCCCACATACTGCAATCCGTAATGGCTAAAGAACTCTAAAATAAAAAGTGTTGAATGTCAGCAGGAGTAAAAACTTGTACAAAAGGGAATTTGCCGTCTCTAGGTACAAGGGCATGTAAGAAGGATATAAGAATGGGTTGTGCAATGCAACAATGCAGAGCAAGAGTTAAAAACAAATTGTGCAAATAAGCTATGGTCCTGGATAAGCTCTGAATGTCGATTTGTAGATAAGATGGTGTTCTGCGTCTGTTCCACTCTGTTTAGAGAGAAGCAGAGATTCCTGTTGAAATTGAAACAATTGTACTAGCTGTCTCATGTAGGCTCAAAAGGTACAATGACCAAATGGAACAGGCCACAAAAAAGTTACCTTTCAGGAGCTGTGGGTATTTGGTATGAACCAGGTTGGTGAGGTCTCCACCATCATCTAAAATCATGTTCAAGGGCTGCCCGTCTTTGAAGTACAGGGTCTGTTCAATACACCACAAGTATTCCTCATCTGTCTCTCCTTTCCAGGCGAACACTGAACCAGCAAAAGAGCAGGAAGAATTACTTTAATTTCTTATTCAACCAGCAAGTATATCTATATCAGCATTTCCAAATCTAAGTTACATTAGCAGTTTTCTGTACCAGAGCCAAAAAGCACATGCTGCCCTAGCAGATCACTGCCTCCAGCTAGAAAAAACGCTATCAGTTATGTGTCTGCAGCTGAGTAGAACTGAATAAACAGAAAAATCACTTGCGTCTTATGCTTTATGCCCTGAAATGATAGAAGTTTGGGTCAGACCATATCAAGAACATCAGCTCCCTTCTTATCCTTAACAACCAAGAGAAATGAGGTGGCACCAACATGAGCCATGCATACAAGCTACAATTCCCATCTTCTGCCTCAACTCATGTTCAGCTTCTAGGAATTAGGAAGAGCCTCTAAATATGGCTATACTGAAAAATAAAAGTTGTGAACATACCATGTGTTACCATCATCTAGCCTCCCGCAAGTAAAAATAATAGCAGTGAATTCATGACTGCATGAAGGTGCACAAGAAGCCAGCATCTATTCTGTACTCCATGCTGTCATTGTTGAAGATGCTGTAATTACACTCATTCTGCAGAGGAAACAGACCCAGTAGCTCTGTCTAATTCCTGATAACTTTAGAAATTCCAGGGCAGAGACTAAGGACTGAGGCCAGCAGCCACCCCTCACTTATTCTGTCAATAAGCTTCAACTCCATGATATATAGAAAGGGGATGTCTGAATTCCAACTTTATAGACTCCCTCTATACTGCATCAGTAATCTCACATGCCAGAAACAAGACTCTGCCTCCCTGCTGATAGGAAAATGAACCAATTTCTTTGGCCTGCAAGGGCACAAGGCTGAAGAAAGACTTGGTATTCTAAATTACCACAAAATACAGGCTGCTGATTAACCTGACCCCAAGTGGCCTTTGGGCCACAGGAGTATCAAGGCCTCACAATAACAAGCTTTACAGCAGGA